TTGAGTAGACAATAAACGTTCCGTTTCATACTAGCTCTCAAATACGTCTCGCCAATCATGTCGCGTCAAAAAAGTATACATTAACAAGAAATATGAATAATTTTACGCGAACAAAGTCACGGGTAACTGCTAGTATGTCATATTTAGGTCCTAAGTACCTTAAATAAACTCGACATCGTTTCATTCGCGAAGGGATAAGAAGAGATGTCTTTTTTAATTACAACACCCACTTTACTCTATTATAAGGTTTATACAGACATATATAGGAGTGTATTCCCTATATACTGGATATAAATCACCACAGGGAAGAAGGTGGCACAGTGGTCACCTACTGCCGTGGACAGTGAGGTTCATTGGAGATGCATACCTCCCTAGGGATATGCCGTAATAGGCATTGCACCATGGGGGTACAGAAGTAGGTCTATTAAAGGACCAAGTGCCCCCTATAGGTGAAAATGGTGGCCACCAGGACGGTTTTAGTGAGGAGAGAATCCCACCTATTTTCCACAAAAAAACTAGGCGTCTTTTGAAGGTTTTCCTCCGTCAACAAAAAGAAAGACATTGTGCAATAAATAAATGCATCAAAAATCCGAAAAAAAACGATAATGCTTTTTTTTAAGGGGGGAAAATCATCGCATGACTTTTTCCCGCCTGGGTGAGGCGGTAGGGAGTGTCAGACTCTTACTGACTAAACACCACCCCGTTCCTACTCCTGCACTTCGAGCCGGAGCCCCGGTAACCCGTTAAGTCCTCCGCGGCAACGATAATGCCTAGCATGACATTTAATCATTAAGTAATGGGAAAGTTAAAGAGCTGTCTGTCTGTTTGTTTCCCACAAGAACGAGAGTTTTCCCAGTATTGTATTGTTGTCGATAACATGCGTGTGTTGTACGTCAGTCTTGAAAGAAATAGTATTTGTTTACTTTCACATAATTCATTGTTTCCAGGTACTAATAACATCGGATCGTAGGAATCACAACACATTGTAGATTTGTACAGAATATCGGATAGATAAATAGGTCACAAATAGGAAAACAAAGTGTCAGTAGTAGAACGGAGTCTGGAATTGTGCCCGGTATATGGCAATAGGCTCAACCTCTACATAAATTGTGAAAAGTGGGTATTACATTGTACAGTAGCATTAAGTGCCGTAATGTGAACCTCTGCCTACCCCTTCGGGGATGAAAGGCGTGATCTATAGTCTATCTTAAGTTCTAGTTTGAATAGTTATCAGAAAATATAATAATATAAACAGAAACTAGTCGACGTTTCACAAAAAATATAAGTGTTATCTAAAAAAATACAAAATAGCCATTCCATGTCAATCCATCGTAAAAAGCTTCAATCATATAAAAAAAAGAATATAATCTTCAAACAAATCTTCATCCACGTAAACAATTACGTATCAAACGCCAATCATAAAAAACACAACAATAAGTGATTCAATCGTTCAAATCACATTTTTTTATACAACTACTACCATGGGCTAATCCTACCATATTTATTTCACATCTCACTTTTATATTCACAAGCAATCTTGAACCCTATGACAAAGGATTAAGGTCGGAGAGTTAATTTGTTGTAGGTCAATATAAGTTGGTTTAACTTAACCGTTAGTCGAGTCTTGGTACTAGTGCTTACTAACCTTGGAGGAGGTCGTTGAACCTATGTTTATAGGAACAAAGCATAGCGCGATTCTATAAAGGGTTTTATACCATACTATCCTATTAAAATTATAAGTGTATAAATGTTTGTTGGTATTTCGCTCAAAAATTGCTAAACGGATCTGAATGCAATCATGTATAGAGATAGACTATAGCAGAAGCTAGTTACAGTTTATTTTATTGAATTAAAAGAACAGTAAAATCGTTTGAAATAATATAAGGTACCTTACTATATGTAGGTATATCTGAAATTACCTGGTATAAAAGTATCCTTACTAATATTATAAATCGGAAAGTGAGTTTGTTTGTTTGTTCCGCTTTCACGCGGTAACTACTAAACCGATTGCTTTGAATTTTTGCAGACGTAAAGTTAGAAGTCCGTATTAAATATTATGGTACTTTTTATCACGGAAAATTTTGATATTGCCTTTTATTTGGGAAAACAAAAGTATTGGTATAGATGGCGCCGTGTGTATTGGTATATATGACAGGCTACTTTTCATGTTTTTGTGACGCGAGGGAAGCCGCGGGTAAAAGCTATAACATTATTGATAGAAATGACAAAAAGTATTGTTGTGTTACATATAACATAGTCTAAAATAATACTTTTAATCTTCAGACTAAAGATAACAAAGCGTGATATTATCTAACAGGTAAACTATGAAAAGAACATTTTGTTACCGTTATCAGTTAAAATTTAATACTATAATAGTCAATAGACGATGCAATCGCTGTGCCTTTCCGTTGAACTTAACTTGTATGCAATCGCTCTATAGCAGGATACCCCTTCCCTTAGCATAACTGTACTCTTCCTTTCCATTTGTCGATAATGCGAAACTTGCTTACATTCATAGCTAAGAATATACACTTTATTTATATATATATATATATATATATATATATTGTTTTTTTAAAAATAACGTTGCCCCACACTAGGATTTTCTCCTGTGTCGTGGGTGCGTTTACAAACATACAATATCACATACACATGACACCCAGCCCCGGAACAACAATCTGTGGATCACACAAAGAGTTGTTCCGTGCGGGAATCGAATCCGCGACACGTTGCGCGGCAGCCAGTTGCCCAGCCACCGCGCCAACCGTGCAGTCAAATATATACTATAGTATATAATATACACTTTATTTAAAACGATTACGTAAAAGGAAATAACTTGTCGAGTAATCCTGAACAGAATTGTTTAATACGCATAAGATTGAAAATAGAGCATATCAGTTCGTAGGTTAGTCACAAAGTTCATAATCCAGGTGAGCAAAGCCGCGAGCTGCTAGTGTTTAATATACGTTATCAAAAACAATTCGGGAATATATTTTTTATTAACAAAAATCTATGACGTAACTTGTTCAATTCTAAATGTTAATATGACATGATCCTATTGCCATACACTGTGCCACTGTGCACATAAACAGACCTTTCGGAATAATTTTCGGAGAATCCTAAAATAGCATCCCAATCCTATCAAATTATTATTTGCTCGGCCAAAGGATCAAGTCGAGACCCAACTAGATGCAACTAGATATCAAGATATAGAAAAATGCGACTGGCTGTAGGTGCTTACCCTTGAAACTAATCTTAATTTCAATGTAATTTCAATCCAATAAATCTTAATTATTATTCAATGTCAAAACTATACAACCCCTATCGGCTATGGCTGTTAAAGTAGCATTCAGAGTACGTATTATAAAACCAAACTCAATACCATTTATTTCATCAAATATCCTCGAAATAAGCGGTAGTGTTGCAACTCAAGAGTACGAAAATTCACCCATCCCATCCCATCCCATCTGCATCCCATTTGCATTTTATCTTAAAAACGTATTATAAATCTACTTTAAATAAAAAAAATAACAAAGACATAATTTCTAACCCCTCACATACACCACTAAACCCACTTTTATACAACAATTCCGCACAGAATTCTTTAAAGGCTTCCTTTTCAAACATCTTCGTTGAAGCTCACACAGCATTAGAAAAACTCTTTGAAATCTTTTCCTGCGGGTAATTTCTTAAAGGATTTCCTATTGCTTCGTAGTCTCTAAAGGCGAACACTGATCTTAATTTTTAAAGGAAATCGAACTCTTGAAAGTAGTCTTTGAAATGAGCAGTATATAATAATCAAAGAAATGTTAAATCGTTTTGTAAAGTTAAACTGTTTTATTTGTAGTTCTTTGGAGCAAAGAAATGAAGCCATGACCACGAGCGTTAATTACAACTTTAAAAAATATTCCATTTACAACAAAATGATTACATTTTAAATGTAACTAAATTGCCTTTTATACGACATATGTTACCGGTTAATAAAATACTTTGTATTAGGAAATATTTAACAAGAAATGAATGAGTAAAATTCGCTAGTGGCTGTGTTTTTTGCTCCCTGATTTATACCTCGTTTCACTAACCGAATCATAAGTAACTCATGGACATTTCTAAAGTACTTAAAACTATATTCCTTACACACTGAACTACTTCGGAACTACTTCGTTCGTACTAAGAATATCCATTTTAAAAATAATAATACTTTCCCCAACTTATTTACCTACATATGCCCAGACTTTTAATCCTGTATTAAGCAAAGACTTTGTATAATAATAGTACCTACAGACGGACTTCAAAATCGATTTATTTTAATAAGGCAAGACGTCGCGTCTACATACTTTAATATAGCAAGACAGAATACAGTTGAAGTTTTAAACTTTCAATTGTTTAGTTCGAAAAGTAGCTACTTGTATTGATAATATCAAGAAATTTTATTCAGGTCACATCAGTCGATACATTGCGAACTTTGCTTTATCTACAATTGTTTTTTTTTTAAAACGTTGCCGCACACTAGGATTTTCTCCTGTGTCGTGGGTGCGTTTACAAACATACAAATTCACATACACAATGGCACCCAGACCCGAAACATTAATTTGTGGATCACACAAAGTGCTGTCCCGTGCGGGAATCGAACCCGTGACACGTTGAACGGCAGCCAGGTGCCCAGCCACCGAACCAACCGTGCAGTCGTCTTTGTACTTCAATTTCAATACTTACAATAATGTGGTGTGACCATAGTTTCGATGTAAAAAAGAACAGTTTCCTTGTAAAAAGTACATGAGGACCTATTCATATTACGATGTCCGCATACACTACGAGAACAATCTTGAATGTAGTTCAAGATGCCTGCTAAACGAATATCCAACGACAACAAGCGACGAATGTAAAAGACAAAGTGAATAAGATTAATAACGTTTCTAAGACCTCCAAAAAGGCCACCATACAATGAAAAAACACAATAGAATGTACCAAGACTAACGTTAAACTTCACTTGCTTCCAGACATGTTACGAGATGGAGAGGTATTTGCGAGAGGAGCCAAACAAGCGTCGCGAACCTGGCCAGGAGGAGGAGTGGGCTCGGCCTCCCACACCGCCCTCCCCGCCAGAGGTCAAGCCGTCGTTGTCTCCTCTGCCAATACTCACCAAGGCTCCGAGCACTACCACCACCACGCACTTCACTTTCTTCACCACTGTGAAGTGCGAGCCACCGAGCGACTCCGAGGAGCCCACGCGGGGTAAGTTGCGAATGTACTATTCCTTAAGCGTTACTGACAGGTTCGCGGGTTATATCAACCAAAACTTAGAAAGATGAATCTTCGGTGTAGGTATCTCAAATCTCCATGTTTAATATTCATGCAGATGTAAAATAATGTCCTAACTAAACATTGCTATTACACCAAAAATCTTAACTTGAGCTTTTTATATTTATTCTTATCATTTTCTAACGTGAACTGCGAAATGTTTCAGAGCAAACTCCCAGCCCGGTGCCGGTGCAGCTGCTGGTGCCTCGCAAGGTGCAAGTGACCCGGCATCACGGTCATACTCACACCACCGACCCTCGCCGTCGCGTGCACCGCTGCGAGTTTCCATCTTGCGACAAGGTCTACACCAAGAGCTCTCATCTGAAGGCGCACAAGCGCACTCATACTGGTTAGTATCTTCACCCTTCAATACTTGCTTAATATAATGTATGGTAAGTATTAAAAGAAAAACTCTAAGGCCTATCTAGCTCAAAGACGCTTGCGTTGTGTTTCACTGTGTGTGTGAGGTTCCCGGATACCCCCAAAGGCCGGCAACGTACTAGTAACTTCTGTTGTTGCGAGTGTCGATAGACAGCATCCCATAAAATACTCATCTGACTAATGCCCTGACAATTGATAAAGTATCGAAGTCAATGCTCTATGATTTAAAGTCCCTTGGATTGGGGCCGCACTGTCTCGTGTGTTTCCGTTCCCGTCAATCAAATATGTAACCACTATAATGCGACTTAATATCAAATAAAACGAGTCATGAATCATACGTCTAATGTCTACCAATTGTACGCACAAGAAACTAAGAAGTGACCAAAGGCGCTAAGCAAAAGCAAAAATGAGAATAAGTGAAATGACCGTACTTCGCGCCACCTGGTATCTTCCTTCATCAATTGTGTGCTAATATAATAAGTATGGTTATTCAAAGGAATAAGTACGTCACAACACAATGACATGTTCGCATTAATCATCATCATCGTATCAACCATAAGATATGCTTGTTGAACATAGAAAGTCCACTGAATGACTTCAGTACGCTAGCGAAATACCCAACCAACTAAATAAACCCGCCTGGCAAAAATTTATTCTAAGCGTCTTAATAACTGCATTACAAATTAACTATGTGTGAGCTCATGTACAGGATGCCGACGCTACGCCGCAACTACATCGTCACCGCCATCGCACTGCTGCCGCACCGCTATGTCGTTTATAGGTTCACCACTGCACCTGCGCACTGTCACCACACCGCCATGTATCACGTTTGTGCCGCTTGAATTTACGACACAACAAAACACGGTTCATTGCAAAGAACAGGTTCTAAATAGCTAATTGTTAGCTAGTATTACTAACAACTGTCCAGTTGTATGGTAAAATCAAGTGGCATTCTGGACTCGTTGGCGGTGTGGTGGTGACGTGCTGGTCGGTGACGTAGCAATCGTATACTCAACATAGCAGCGCGGCGTCGGCGGTGCGTATGGCGGTGCCGCAGTGGACGGATACACGGCATATCAGTGCGGCGGCGGCGTTCAAAACTTTAAAGTTCCGATGCCCCGTCCACACGCTTGGTTTTTGCCACAAATAGGTAGCAAATACAATAAAATAATAAACTTCCAAACATTGATGTGTAGCAAGTGTGTGGCAAAATCGCAACTATTTGCCACAGCCTTTTATCTGTGTTTGTGTTCGCCATTGTGCGACACCGATGTGGGACAGTGGCGAACACAAATAAGAACAGGCACACACAAACACCCTTCCACATATCCTTGTTTACTGTTTGCCAAGCGAGTGGACCCGTCATCACAATTAGACAAAACATCATTTGGATTCTCGGATAAATTCCGACACAAAAACTGTAACAAAAATCTAGAACAATGCAGTATTAGCTAACTCTAACCATTATGTTCACAAAGAACGATACCTGTTTTTATAAGAATCCAAAATACAGTAAATAAACACCACGTAATTTATTTTTACGCCATCTACAAGACCATGTAGAAAATTGCGAGGCGACTCTGTAGTACAGACAGCAATATGTACTAAATTGCGAAAAACGCCATCTATCACGAGAGCGTTGCATCTACTTAGGCACCCTAGGTCTCGTTTATAATCTGTAGGAACACGAAAGCACTAGACGGCGCTGTATGGCGTTATAAATTGCGAGTCACTGCTAGCGACAATAATATTATCATTAAATTAGTATTCAGTATCAAATATTCAGAAAGAAACGAATTTTAACCATGACTAACTAAAAAATATTATTTATATTTAATAGGTCATGGTTTAGGGTTTTTTATAGGTCACCTAAAATATTTCTGCACTTAGCTCTATCTAGCCAACTAGCGCTGAACTAGTAAAGTTCCCTGTTTAACGTTACGAGCTTGTTCAGAGCAAAACTACTAGATGGCGCTGTTTTACAAATCAGCAAAGTTAACAGGTAAAATGATTTAATTTTATTAAAATAGAAGAAAAAATCTTGAAATAGACAGATATTAAATGAAAACACAAAAAAATACACAGGTAATACAAAATAGCAACAGAAAATGAAATGTGAGCCAGGTAATATTCCTCACCACAAACTCGTAAAAGGAATGGTCTCAGAGAGTACTTTCACTTGTATAAAGTCTAGTAAACGTTGTCTGCTGTGTCGTAGAGAGGGCAGCACCAACCATTTTGTATGTAGAATAAAGTTACCACACACTATAAGTAAAATTAGTGTAAGTCAATGGAAACACGACATTTTACATATTATTGTGAATGAAAACATATTTTAGCAGATTACTTGATGGCTGTGAGAAACATTCTTCGCTGTTTAAATACACCAGCTGGCGAGCTTCCCTCGGCCTAATACTAATTGCTTGATTAGGTACTATTATATTGAAAATTAATATAGATTTCGTACAAGAATGACGTGTTTTGTAGCAGTACTGTTATGAAACAAGTTACTAGCCTTATAAGACAGTCATTTTGTCATGGACAGGCTGTGCAGGTATTATTAACCTTTATATTTATTATTGTTGTTCATGAGACATATTAAATTAATTGACTGCACGGTTGGTGCGGTGGCTGGGCAACCGGCTGCCGTGCACGTGTCGCGGGTTTGATTCCCGCACGGAACAACACTTTGTGTGATCCACAATTTGTTGTTACGGGTCTGGGTGTAATGTGTAGATATGTGAACTTGTATGTTTGTAAACGCACCCACGACACAGGAGATAATCCTAGTGTGGGACAACGTTTCTTTTATATATGTATATATATATAAAAAATTTGTCTCACGGCTTACTCACGTAACTCTTTGACGAGGTAACTTGACGTGTTTCGAAGAAATTCGTAGTCATGAGCTGCATTTTGTGACAAACGACAGGGCGAGCGTCCACAGGCGGGTGCACGACACCCACCGCGTCGTTTGTCATGCAAAGTCGAGTTACGTCGTCAGACAGTTACATGTGTACCTATACATGTAACTGTCTACCGTCGGCATACTTATGCCGTAAGACATTAATTAATTTGACATCACATACATATGACACACAGACCCGGACCTTGATCACCAATTTGTGGGTCACACAAAGAGTTGCTCCGTGCGGCTATCAAATGTGTAGTACCTACACATTAAGTAGTGTTAGTACGTACTGTCAACGTATGTCCTAACTTAACTAGACTACATTATGTACAGTCAGCTAAGTATTTACCGCCTCATCACACTACAGATTTAGGAGCGGAGACTGCGACGCGGGGCGGGCGCGCAACGAATGTGAGCAGGCGGGGATTCCTTGTCCGAAACCGTATTGTTACTGGGTGTATTTTACGTAGATAATTTGCCACTCGTCCAAGTAGTCCTCACTGTCCAGCCGCGGCGTTCGCATTCACAATTTTTTGTAGCAAATTATCGACGTACAATACACTCAGCAACACGTGACGAAACTGACATGTATTTGGCACGTGCCCGCCCTGCCCGGAGCCGCTACTGAGCCGTAATATTATTTATTTATTTTTATATGAGAATGCCTTAAGGGCTCGATGACGCACCACCCGGAGGACACAGTGGAGCATACGCTGGCTGATCACCGCTGTTTCCTCGGAGATATGATTGGCGACGGTGACATCTTGCATCCGGCTCTGGCTCTGGTTTAGGCCATGACCCGGAGCGAGGGGGAATAGGAGGCTGACTCCTCCATCTGCGAAGCAGTCATTAGCTAATGAGGAGGTGGAGCTCGTGAGGGAACGATCCTCACGCCCCAGCTGCCATAGGAAACACTCTAGGCATCGGAGATTGTGCTACGATCTCCGGCCAGTGTAAGTGCAGGTATGCTGACGGCGACTACCCCTGCTCACCGTCAGACCAGAACCAGACCCGCAAGAACGGTGCGTCGTGTACCACGCGGATTCAAAGAGCTAAGCCTTTTGAGGCGCGTTGCCAATATTGCTGATGCGCGACCCGGAGCTGCGGACAACCTAACTAGTGACCGAGGCTCCGGCTCAGAGCAGGAATAGGAACGGGGTGGATTTTAGTTAGTAAGAGTCTGACACTCTCTCTCTCTCGCTTTACTAAAGGCGGGAGAAGCAATTGAGTGATTTTCATCCCTCAAAAAAAAAGGCTCGTATACACGATACCACCGTCGCAGTATTACATGCCGCTTAATTTTACCATGGCCGTAAAGTTGTTAATACTTTGCTAGCTGCAAAGAGAAGGGTTTTTACAGTTGGTCATGAAGGGTGGTAAAATGAAGGGGCACGAATGCGCAGTGGCATCGTCATGTACACGAGCCTTAACAGTATGTAATAACACTAGTAATTGGTTGAGCATTCGCACTGATTGCAATTTTATTTTGTAATTAATACGTATGCAGATATTAGGACTTTACTAGTGAATTGCGAGGATCATCAAAGTGGAACGGACGCGCATCCTATTCCACAATTACTTTTTTCGTATTACACAATGTTGTTCCGTGTGATAATCGAACCCTCGTCACGTAACGCAGCAGCCAGTTGACCAGCCACTGCCCAACCATGCTACATGAACTAACAATTCTCTTTTTCTATTCACCAATCGGCTGGAGACCTACTAAACGAACCACAGCACAGATAACATTCACAAAGTATTTAGACAATTACTGATACCATTAATAATAGCTGGCTCACAGTTGAGACACACATGAAAATTATAACTAAGAAAACAAATAGAAGTCTACATAGAAATCATAGTAGGAGTAGTATAGTAATAAAGGGTATCTAGTAGTTGGTTGGTATCATTGCTCGCGATTATTTGGGTCAGACTGGTTTGTGGCATTAAGTCCACCCATGTGCTTGTTTGTGTGCATAAAGATTTTTGAAATAAATTAATATTAATAAGATTTTTGTCTTTACGGTTCCGTACTTAACAGAGCTGGAGTTTCAAGCGCTTTAGTATTTAGCTTTAGTTTTTATAATGTAACAAATAAATGTTATGGTCATGTTGCTTATCGGTGTTTGTCGTTGATTGCAGGCGAGAAGCCGTACAAGTGCTCCTGGGAGGGCTGCGAGTGGCGCTTCGCCCGGTCTGATGAGCTGACGCGGCACTACCGCAAGCACACTGGCGCCAAGCCGTTCCGCTGCCGCCACTGCGAGCGCTGCTTCTCCCGCTCCGACCACCTGGCGCTGCACGCCAAGCGTCACGCGTAGCCCGCGGCCCCCGTCGTCCGCGCGCCGCCACGGAAACGCAAATAAACCGCGCGCGCATTTTTTATTATTTACAAGTTATTTTTAGTGGTTCCGTTTATAGGTTGTCGTGAGTTGTGAACACGGAATTGATTGTGATGCGCGCTGCTCCATACAGCGTCAAGCCAAAGAATGCCGCTACATCGTAGCCGAGTCAACACTCATTGCACCTAATGCTTTAAGGTTATTTTTTTAAGTTTATCGAGTTTTTATTCGGGAAAAATCTCTTTAATGTTTCGGCAATTATCGTTACGGTTCTTTGTTGCTAAGAGTTCGATTTATAGCCGTTGTGTATTATGTAATTTTGTGAGCTTTGTGTATTATGGCGTCGTCGCCTAGCGATGGCGCGTGTGTGCCATGAGTGGGGGGCGCGCGTCCCCCCACATGCATTTCATTTGCGGTCATATTATTTATTGGGGAGTTCGGCTAATGATCCCACCGACGCCGAGCACGACCTTTATTATTTTAGGCTTAGTGCGTCGCGTTACCTGATGTCAGTCGGCGCCGCGACCCACTCGACGGCCGCCCTGCGAGCACGCAGCCTAGAGTCAGCACCGCTCGCACGCTCGGTTCGCTCGACTGGTTCGCGGCTCCGGCGCAGATTCGTGTTTATTTTGTATAATTCGTAATATATTCATTAGGTTAAGCTTTCTCTTTATTCTTTCATTCCGATATTTTGCGGTTAACTGGCCTTTATTTCGTTAGTAGTGCGAATTATTATTGTGCACACTATTTGATTTCGGTGTGCCGGTACACACATAGCGTCGAGTAACAATTTTTAGCCTGTAGGGAGGATAACATCTATAGTACATATTTTTTTTTATTTTTGTAAAATGACGCTACGTGTGTAGGGCCTTGTTGATTCTGGAGGAGGCGAGTGCATTCGGCTGTCAGTTACGTGTGTTCAGTCTTGATCTCAGTAATATCCAAGAACAGCACTTATTGACTCGCAGCCGAGGCATCTCGCCGCCGGTCGGAACACAGTCGCTATTGTTTAAGTCCATAATGAATATTTAAAGACTGGTCTCGGACACTGCGTCCATCACTATACCAGCCTACACCCTGGTAGCACAGCACACTTGCGACCAACTTCTTCATCTTATAAAGTTGTGTCACCCACCGAGTGTGCTACGCTACTACGGTATCTATAACCACCACCATGAATCGTATCTTTATATTTGAACAAGTATTTTTCATTATATTTTTTATTAAATTATTAAACTTTAAGTAAGTCATGTAATCATCACAATGAAGTAAATTAAGTTACCAGAAGCACTTGTTACTGGATTCAACGATGCTTGCTTGCGAGAAGCATTAATAGACATCTCTGCTGAGTCACTAACACAAGTTGTGGTAGTAAGGGAACTGCTAAGAGAGAGCGACGACTGTAAACTATATTGAACTCCCGTTGAGATACTGCGCAGTGTCGTTGACATGTCAGTAACTGTGCATTTTACTTACATACCTCCCGGGGCCAATTATTTAGTCTTCCCTTTCGATAAGTTCTACGAGCAACAGTATACTGTGCATCATTGCGGAGCGACACGCGCACGACACGACACCACAATCCTGATCATTAAATATTAATAAATTATAAGACAATACCAATTGTAATATAGTCAAACTTTAAATATAACACGACTGAATTAAAGAAATAATAAAATTTTGAGAGAGAATAAACAAATAGATCTGATAACTGATACTTTTGGTTTTGGTTGGATTATAAATAGAATGATAAATAAAATGTAGTTGTGAATGCATCACGCTTATGGTTGCGAACAAAATTAGCGTAAGATTTGTGATGAGCCTTATTTTACTGATTTACATGATATTTGAACTAAGAAAACTGTTGGGTCGGTTCGTGCGCGTGTGCTCTGTAACTCACAAACATGTCCCCATGTCATACAAGTCTGCATTTGCACTTTTACACAGTACGATATACAAATCGTCCAATGACTTCGAGGTGAGGAGAGAAAATACTGAATCGGACGTAAACAGAAGACTTCATTTCTCGTTACTCCCTGAATAACGTTATTCCTTGTATTTTGTATCGTAATTCCGAATCTAACGAGGAATACGAGCAGAATTTCTCAATATTTGCACATTTGCCTCCGTCAAACTTCAGTGCGTTTAGCACTCTTAGTTCTTGACACCATTTTGAAAATGTGGTATGAACTTTGTCTTGGTCTTCAAAACTCGTAATAGAGCTTCTTCACTAAAACGATATTTCCAAATTTAATAAGCGAATCTCTCATCCACTCTGTGAGTCTGAGGACATGCTGTACATCGTGGTCCCATGTACTTGTACAGTCACAGTTAAAACATATTCGTCATTAGTTCTCTTTTTAAAATATATTAGGTAGGTACATGTATAGTGTTTAAGTACACGATGCCTCCAGAAATGCAAACAAACCACTCTTTAAGTGTGATACAGTTAGGAAGGGACATAAGAACTATTTGTTGTGAATATTAAGGCTAGTTGGGCACTGTAATAAAATATATTAATCCTTAAAATTGGTGTCATATAACAAAATAAAAAAAAACAAAAAAAAATAACATGATGAAGAACTTTGTACTGTGACTGTACTTTTATTTTTTATTAAAACAAAATTATTAATTATATTATGATTATACACGTGTTATTTTTGGCAATATTACAAAGTTTATTCGGAAAAATCTCAATTACATAGTTATTTTTTTTTATATTTTTCGTTGAAAGTTAAAAAATAAACATTTTATAATTTTCGCATCGTTTGTCAACTGTCAAAATGGTTATTATTAAAAATGTCATTACTGTTTTGTTTTGACAGTGGACAATAACCGAATTACGTGTTCAATAGCGATAATAAAGTAAATGATTCAAGTCAATTTCAACAAAATAAATAAATTGTTGTATCCAGAGAAAGTAATCTTCATATTCAGCTCGAACTTTGATCTATCTATTCGGAAATAAAATAAATTTTCAGAACTTTAAAATAAAAGGATTTAAAACTATGAATATCCCAAAACCGTCTCCGATTATGACGTCAATAAATCTGGTTTCAATTGACTCACTCACTGAATTGATAGGCATTACAACTGTCAGTTGCTTTAGAAAAATTGCTATTGAGTACACGTAATTGATATTGCACGGGCATATACAGGGGGTTAAGATGCAGGTAAGGCCCCTGTCTCTCGACGGGGCTTAGGTAAACAGTAAGTAAAGTGCTTTGAATCATCCGTGTGTGCTTGGGTTGAACCTGTGTACGCCCTTAGCTAGCTTCACACCCAGCTAGAAGCACTGTGTTGCCAAACACAAGTTAAGGGTTAGGCTATATACGTAAATTCAAGTGTTAGCTGTACGAATTTAGCTTATATGATCATACATAACCACCTAAACTAATTATTCATTCTGCATTTTTTCTAGATCGATGTATAATTGTAACAACAGTGAAATCATAGATGTAAGTAACAAAAAAGTAAAAAAAAATTAATGTGATTCATAAATTTATTATACTTTACGATAACATTATAAACATGTACGTTATATAGGTATAAATACCGCTTGATGGTTTATGTGTACTAGTGTAATATGCACGACGGCTGGTAAATGCATATAATTATGTAGTTCGTAGAGAACATTATACTACTTATACCTATTCGTAATGAAATACCCGCTGACCACCAGTCTACTGTTTGTATATTACTAATTCAAGACAATGTACCGTGCCGGAGTCTAATTTTTGAATCGACGTTGAATTATTCCAACTGTATCGATTAACAATTGCCTGCTGCAATTTTCCTCCACTCCGTAGACAAACTGACCTCGGTCGTAACTAGAGGCCTGCGTACGAACTTGTTTTACCTTTAAATTATTCAAAACTAGACCGCGTTCTGCACTCTAATTGGTTGGTTCATAGAAGCCGGCCAATCAGAGCGCTGCACGCATACTCTCTTCGATTACTTTAAATGTAACATAAATACGTACTAAGACCTCAGCTTCGTCCTCGAGATTCGATAACATAGCTCGACTCTGTCAGCGGGTACCATAGAATCGATTCAAGATTCCATATAAATGTCAAACTATGTCATAATCGTATTAGAAAACGTAATATATAACGAAATATACATTCGTCTAATATATACTTATAATATTATATGAAATAGAGAATTTTTCGTCATTCAAGATACGCGGCTGTGTTAGAATCAACTCTAATAAATTTTCGATTCCACCGTCTCGGGAAGCGATTACAAATATGATTAAAATAGTTTTTAAGTCTCCCTGTCCCGAGTAATATTTTAAGGCCGATTTAATAATTAATTAGCAAATTAAATTTCAGTCTTGTGCAAGAAATTAACTTTGTGTCGGTCCCAAATGTGAGGCAAGTTTGGTCAATCATCTTCGGAAAAGTATACTATATTATAAGACTGTCCACTGTCTAGTTCCTTCCATCTAGAAAAGTACCATTTAGTTATATACGCCCATTGGTTTTCAACTAACTAAACAACGTATCAACATTAAAAGAATGAGCTTTGTAAACAAAGACGCACAATTTTATTATTATTAAGTAAATCAAGGCACTTATAAAGTTAATCTCTTGCCAATCTAATATTTCATTGTTTCACGCGGTAAAAGCCTTGTCACTTGATTCTAAACTTTGAAGTAAAGAGAACAATGTATATTTTAGCTCATGACCTTGCCAAACTTGTTCCCTGATACCTAAGTTGAACTTGAACTATGCTAGCTATTGTGGTTTAACACCTACATAAAATTTGTCCTGTATTGAGGTGGTGGTGACCTAATTATGAAAGTTTTCCATCTGAAGATCCTTGTGAATCCGTAGTTGGATTTAAGGTCACTTCGATTGGTCCAGGATCCGGAAATCAATAACGTAGGGGACTTTTATGCGCGGGGGAATTGAGACCTTGACGGTAGCGCCAACTACCGAGATAATTACGAACTCAAATTGGACTAAAGTATTAAT